GTGAGACATTTGTTGTTTTTATGTTTATTTATTGTTTTTATGTTCAGTTTCAAGTGTTACGAAGTTGATGTGCAGTTAATAAGTGCAATAAATATTTATACTGGAAAAGAAAATCGTGAGAGAATCGTGATCTCAATTCTAAGCCAAAAAATCGTGATTCTCATTTTATGCAAAATCGTGCAGCCCTAGTGGTACTTATACTTTCCATAGATCAGTGTTAGGGTTCTAACAGCCTAGCTCCTGGTGTCCTTTACAGGTTCTGGCAGAGTCCAACCCATCCCGCTTTGGCTTCCTGTGGCGATGCTTTGATGAGCTCTACCTGCTGCTGGACCTCCTCCTTCAGAACCACTTCCTGTCTAACTGCAGTGCCTCCTTCTCGGAGAACTTCTATGGACTGAAAAGAGTTTCAGGCAGGCAGAAACTTCCTGTGCGCCTCGGGATGACCAGGACATCCCGCTGGTGGTCTCTTCTTCTTCTGTGCCTGCTGCCATACCTGCAGGCCAAGCTAGAGGCCACATTGGCACGGCAGAGGGATGAGGAGGATTTCTCCATCCGTTTGGCGCAGACGAGGAGCCAGAGGCTGTACCGGGCGGCCGTAGCAGCATATCCGTACGTCAGCTCAGCCTGGCAGACCTGGATCTTCTGTCAGCAGCTGCTGTTTGTCTTTGGAGTCTCCAGGACCCACAGTCCTCTCCTGTGGCTGGCCGGGGTCAGACTGGAACGGCTTAACGCTCAAGATATCAGAGACATGGAGCGGAAAGCCAGGACTCCCGGGAGACCAGCTGGAGGAAGGTACAGCTCGCAAACTCCTTGCTGTCTCTGTTTTTACCCACAGTGGTGTCCTAACAGGTGTGCTTTGTACCTGGATAGATCACCAGTTGCAGATTCTAAACTGAAGGAAGTTTTTCATGCAGCCTGTTTAATAGAGGTGGGAATCACCATACATCCCACGATACGATATTATCACAATACTTAACGCACGATACGATATTATTGCGATTTATTTATTTATTTTTTTAAATATCTGCGATATTCAGATTCTGTACATAAAGGTAAACTTTATCAATATTCATTTTATCTAATATCAAAGTGTCTCGCACTCAGTCTTTCTCTCATTTCAGTCAGTTTTATTGTTGACAAACTGAACAGTTTGTATTACAGTCTAGTCCAGCTTAACTGAATGCAACCATCTGATACAATCATAGCTATTCTGAACTATGCAATTTATGAAAACTATGCAGCCCATTCAGCAACTGAAGAATTTGAAAGTAAATTAAAACAAAATATAATTTTACATTAAATAAAAAAGTTTTAAACTTAATTAAAATAAAACATGTCTTAAATTAAAATAAGTAAACTGTCATGTTTATTGCTGCCATAAAACAAGTTAAACACATTTGGACAGTGAAGGAATGTCAGGATTCCTGCTCAGAAAAAGGATCAACATGCTCTGAAGTCAGAGCACAAAAACTTTTTTTGAACTTTTTTTGTAACAAAATATCGATTTCTGCTGTCCCTGTATCGATACATTATTAGCAAACAAAATATCACGATGCTACACAGTATCGATTTTCCCCCCCCACCCCTACTGTTTAACTCTATGTTGCTGATACAGCGTTCCATGCATTAAAATGCATTTAGTCAGTGATGCAAAAACCACAAAACTGTTGTGTCCTTATGGTCCAAGCCTGTCTGCTGGGATGGCTCAGATCCAACACATTAGAAAACAATGTTTTTCACAGAGAATATTCAGACAGTGAGATTAATTTCACTTTGTTTGGCCAAAGGTTTAAGTACTTTAAACACTTATCGAGTTTAATGTTTGCTGATGTGCGCTGTGTGGCTTTAGCTCATTTGGTGAATTGATTTGAGGCCACACAAACATACACTCAGTGATATTTTTTACAGTTCTTGAATGAGGAATGTCATAAAAAAAAATCCATTGCTAAATACCCACAATGCATTGTTTCTGTGTTCACAGCATGATGCAGAGAGCGTGGTGGATGATGTCACAAGCAGCGAGGGGCATGGCTGTGTCTGTCTCCTCTTCCCTCTCTATGGGGGTTTTCTTCCTGCAGTTCCTGGAGTGGTGGTACTCGTCGGAGAACCTCAGCACAGTGAAAGCTCTCACCTCCCTGCCGGCTCCTCCACCCCCGCTCCACCTGCAGCAGGATCAGGGTGGGCTGGACTCAGAAAGCAGGAACTGTCCTCTGTGCAGGAAGCCCCACACCAATGCCACCGTGCTGTCCACCTCGGGCTTCGTGTTCTGTTACCGCTGCATTTACACATACGTGAAAAGTAACCACCGCTGCCCAGTCACCGGATATCCCACCGAACTGCAACACCTCATCAAGATCTACTCACCAGAGAGCTAAAGCATCAAGCAGTCAAAGCAGACAAGATCAACTGTGTATGAGAGATGATATACAGACACAATATGAAAATTATATTTGAGGGATATTCACAGCTGTTTTCCTTTTTCTATACAATAATAATGTCCTTAAAGTTTCTGAAAAACAAATACATTTTAATAATATTTATTTTTTACTAATTTTCAGCTCTTGTCAAAGTGAAAATTGAATAATTCAATAATAAAGCCTAATTAAAAAAAATCTAATAAGAGTGTAATTGTTCTTGTTTTTTTGAGGAATTTGCAGGGTCCCTTAATTTGGTCACCAGTTGGGTTACTGGTTACAAACTGGCTGCATTTTAGCAGCTTTTTCCAGTGCTAGGACCAGATTTAGGCCTGTCACAGTTAGCATAAAAGCAGATCAGTCAGTGGGTCTTTTCCTCACAAATAAGTTGTCATTACTGATAAAAATGTCTGTGACCTGGCAAAGATGTTTAAACTCCTACATGGTGGATTATAAGATGCAACTTCATTTTTGTGGCCTTGTTGAACCGTTGGCCTGGTTCTGCCCAAAGAAGACCTGAGGCACGACCAGTTTGGAAACTTGGTTCACTTCCCTTTTACCCAGAAACCTAAAAAGTGTTCTCCTGCTGCACAGAGAAACATTGTCGAGCTGCTCCTAGTAGAATCAGTTTCTATGGTGTGAGTGCTCTGCTGCATCCCATAATGAGGACACATGCTAATGGAGATGGATTAGAATGAGATCTGGCCCTTTCCTCAAACAAACTGCTGAGGAGTTGGAAGAAAAATAAATATACTAATCAATAAGGTTGTGTGAACACACTCTTAGAGGAGCAGATGCATTTTGAATGAGCCTAGAAAGCATTTGTGTGTGTGTCCTGTTTCCTTTTTGCCTAAGCTGATCTAACAAGTGGAAGAGTTGTTTCAGATATGACCTTACGATCACACTAATGACTGACAGTAGGGCACAAACAACATAACAAGGTTAATGATGCTCTCATGTCTACACCAAATATAAAACTTTATCCAAATGCGATTTAAAGGCTCATAGCGATTTAGTGCTAAGCTAACAGTGTACATAACGATGATTACTTCAAAAGTTTGGTCTCCATTCTCCAATCCAGAGTTTGCAGAGGAGGGTTCTCCTCGTGCACTGTTTGACTTTTCAGCAAGCAGCCAATAGGCTGTACAACCCCGAGCACTTGCTCTACAGGCCACTTGAAAGACAAGTCGATCACATCAAAAACCCCAACTTCAACAATGAAATTCAGTCTATGGCTAATTTCAGCTGCTGTTTTGTTAAGGCTTAGTTAGCCATGGACAGATGTTCCAACACAGACCTCATCTTTGCTAATTAGAAGTGGACTTGTGAGTCATCTTTAAACCATTTTACATCATATGAAATCATATGAAACAATATGGCTCGCTGTGTGGTACAGACACGCCTGAGCTTCAGTTTTGGCTTGCTAGCTCAAATATGCTCACTTCTGGCTCGAGAAAATCAAGACAGTCAAAAAGCTAAACTGAACAAAGAGTTCAAAAATACTGCCACCCACCAGGGTAACTCTCTCTCAGCCTCCTAGTGGACGCGCCTGTGGTATCAATTTCAAAAGCTGAGCTGAATTCCTTCAAGAGTTAGCGCCAGTTGATCACATCATGATGGCAACTTTCAGGCTTTGCAAACAATCCATAGTCTGTATACAGACAGCCTCTTGCTGTATCTGAGACTAGAAAAGCGCTCTGTAAGTTTCAGAATACAAGTTACTGCACAGACCATCGGTGAATTGCTTTATTGAGTTTCCAGACAAATTTAACAACAAGCCCACTTAAAAAAAACAACAAAAAGAAAAAACAGAGAAACAGGTAATCAGGGTCAACATCACAACATTACAGCGAGAGTAATAAAAAAAGGGCTTCGTTAAAATGTCCACAAACCCCTGAAATGAAACTGAGCGTGAAGAATCACAATAGTCACCTTCCCTTTTTAGGCTCCTGCAACACAATCCATCAACAGCAAATCAGGACGAGGAGGGGAACAAAAAATAAACAAAACAAACAAAAAACAGGCTGAAACTTCAAAAAAGGGACAAGTATCATCATCAATAATAGTCACAGTAATAGATTGCTCGAATAGCGTGTATTGCACATGTGTACACATATATGCACTTTATATACATGTGAGTCAGCAAGAACTAGACACATGTTATATCGTCGCAACAGGCAAGAATCTGGAGAAAACAACAGCACAGACAGAGAAGAGTCAGGAATGTGCTCGTGATCAGTTTCAACAAAAATGGCGTTTCCCGAAAAGAAAAAAACAACGTTTCAGGCGCGAGCTGAAACGAGTGAAAGGTAACAGAGAGAACGTCTCCCCTCAAAAAACAGGAGGTAAATGAGGGAGAGAGGGCGAACCTCCTCTGTCTCCCTCCCACCCGACAGCCCAAATGTACCGCTCTCCCACCCCCGCCCCTGAACACCGCATGATAGCAGGACACTACATTTACACCACAGTATCAAACATATCAAGAAATACACAGTATCAACTCGTAGCAAAATAGTCCGAGTGTGTGTGACTGTGTGCGTTTCACCTCAGTGTCGTGTGGGTGGCAGCAGCAGTAAAGCTATGTGGCCTCCAGGCTGGGGAGGCGCCCTGACAACCCAAACCATCTCTCTGCATCAGCACGGTGTCCTGAAAGAGTTCTCCATTCCCTTCCCTCTCCTCTTTGGGCTCTTCCAGCTAGCGCAATCAGCCCCGTGCTGAGGCAAGATCCCAATGTTTCCCACCTCGATCTGTGCTCATAAGTGTCCTCGACACCAAGCAGCAACCACTACAGCTGAAGGGTTTGGCCGTCTCTTGGTGACGTGCTAAATCAATGCAACCACAAGTGGTTCATTCAGTTTTTCCAAATTAGGCCAGGTTTGTCCATCGCATCTGTCGACTACGACGACACAGTAATGCTAATATGAAAGTGGGTATTTTTAAAGATGAGCAAAGTTTAGAACTGTTCACAACCATGTGTGAAGAAAGGGATAAACGTTTGCCGTCATATACTTTGGAAACTTTGCTGGTGTCAAGTTTTGCTCGCTTGGCAATTCCGTTTCTAGATCCGACTGAGTTTGCAAGAAACCAATCTGAACAACATCTTGGGAGGATTTTCCTGTTATTTTTTTTCTAATTCTTTTAAATCTTTCATTTTTATTGTGGAACTAATAAAAACCACAAAATAAGTCTGACCTAGCGAGATAAGGTAGCTAATCATGAGCTCTTATAGGTTTACATGTTGACTTGTTGGGTCAAGGCTTTTTTTTAATGTGACATTCTTGAAAATACCTAAATTATTATCCAAACTTGATTTACAGGAAATCGACTAACAATTTGTTCCCTTTGTGAATGCAAGAACAAGGAAAATTGGAAAAATTGTGTGCACTTCCAAATCAAAGGACATCTGATTTATTGGTTGTTTCCATTTTATTGGTTTCTCTTCACTTGTTTACATCTCAAAGGGAAAACCTACCAATTAGATTAGATGCTAATTGCTGCTACTGAACCTTTTTTCTAAATATTACAAAAAGCAAAACTACATTTCTATATCATCTTTTCTAAAATGGAAAACAAAGTCTTACTGTTCAACTACATCAACTCAGTCTTTTCTTCTTCACTGGTTTAACAGTTTAGGCCAGCGGTCCCCAACCCCCGGGCCTGGGACTGGTACCGGTCCATGAGTAGTTTGGTGCCGGGATGCGAGTACTGAGGCTCAGGTGTGAAATTCATGGTTTTCAGGGTTTTTTTGCATTATTTTTTTATCGTTTTTATCGTTAGCTCTGTTTCCCTTGGTCTTTTCCGTGTGATATGAATAAATCTTGTTTTTTTGGTACTGGTACTGGTTTTATTTTGTTGCATTTACCAGCTACACCTTAAAGGCCAGTGGGTGAAAATATTGTCAGACAAAAACCGGTCTGTGGCGCAAAAGAGGTTGGGGACCGCTGGTTTAGGCCACAGTGACCATGATGCCCACAAGATGCTAGTCTAGTTATTGAGGGAATGGAAGATCCTTTAACAAAGTGAATCTTTTACTTGTTGTTACTCATTTTTCTAAATGTTAAGGTATTTTTCATCTGAACCAACACCTGTGGTAGTTGCTGCTTGCCTCCAAAGTTCTTCATTTGCTCCCTTTGTGCTTGCATGAACTCCAGTCGAGCTCAGAAGCTGACCCCGTGTAGCACTGCGGTGTCGGGTCATTAAAATGACCGACCTGTCCAGCTCTCGCTCACTCTACGGCCCCCACGAAGCCGACGCAAGGCGCTGCTATTACTGACTGCGTGTTAAATGGACAAAATGCCCTTAGTGTTTACAATAGTACAAAAAGACTACACTAAACCACCTGGAAACACAGGTCAATAAATCAATCAATCAATACTGCCTCTCCATTCCACCTGACAGATAATATACACAAAGAGCACTCAACCACACTGTGTAAAAAGGTACAGAGTTCCTCCGATCATCGGTTGCTATGGCCTTCTCGCTCTCTGTTCCCGTCACTGCAGTTCCACCACTGTGGTATTGCTTTAAATGGACGAGACCCAGAGGTAGCAGCGTCGGCTAGAACACCGCAAAGGGTCCTGGGAAATGAAGTTTAGTGAGGTTGACGATTACGTCGATCAGAGTTAGTCCCCTGACGTCCCAGTATAGTGTTTCTGAGTTGAGTTTCAATAGGTTTTCATAATAGGCCGGTCCAGCTCTGAAGCTTCTGTGTGATTGGTCAGAATGGGAAGGTGGTGGCCAAATAGCAGTCAGCAGGCTTGAGCCTGAAGCTGGGTAGGTTGAGTTTTTGAGACTGAACAAACCTCAACACTTTCAAACATTCACTTTAAAGATTTCATGAGTGGTGCAATTTGACTGCACTTTTTAATGAGGATGTGAGGATTATATCATGTAACAAAGCACTCGCTCCTTCATTACTGCACTGAAAATAGTGGATTGTCAGCACTGATCCAGGAACAGCACATGATGCATTCTCAGTCACTGTCACAGAATGGAAGCGAAATTTGTGTTAAAAGTTTTAACAGCCTTCATATGCGCTCTGTTCATTGGATGTAAGTCACCATGATATATAGTCGTGGTAATAAGAAAGTACGCCCTATGTACCTTCTAATGTTTCACATATCAGTACATAATCAGATAAAGTGCAACCTCAGAATCACCCCAAGGTCAGAGAAACTGACATAAACCCAGGCAGAGCACCTCGGGTATGAACTAAAGCAATGTTGTAAAGAAGAGCTGTTCCTCCAACAGTGTGAGGAAATGATAGTCATACAGCGGTTACTGCTGCTTGTGCTTCTACAAACTACTGAATTATCCCAGCTTTTATTCATCTGACTTTGTAATGACCTCATTTAAAGAGCTGGTGACGACTCAGTCATTTTGTTTATGCCCGATACTTAAAACCTTAGAATAAACAAAGCATGTACTTTTTTGTGACTCAAACGAGACTGTTAAAAAATCTGAGCAATGCTCTTAAGTCTTAATTTGAAAAAGAACAAGCTTGAAATGAGAAATCATCTCGACACGAGGATGCAACTAAACAATATGAGAAAACAGAAAATGAATCTATCAAGAAATTCTAATTGTAGGCGGATCTCCCTGTGATCTATTGATGTAACAGTGATATTGATAAGCCTGCTGAGTTGCACACTTTTCTGCCAGCTTTGGCTACAGCCGCTGTGTAGCTTTCAGCCTGGATTATATCTTTAAATTCCTCATATTAGACCTGTGTCTGTTCACCATTGGAAAACTAGTGATAACATCCCAATTTGAACATGCACAAACTGAGAATCATGTAGCTTTAACAGCAATTCAGGCAATCCAAGTGCCAACCTGGACTTTTACTGCTAACCCATGCATGCAGCTTCCTGATGTGTCCTCAACAAAAAACGGTCTTCTCCATTAAAGTTGGTGCAAACCACGTCCAATAATACCTGAGGAAGCAGGTTTTCCTCGCTCTCAGTACTTACTGCTTATTTCACCTTGATTTTAATCAGTTTGTAGTGAGTTTATTCAAGTTTACTGTGGACAGCTGGGGATGAAATACCAATATCCCAGTCCAGCCTCGTGGTCTAGGCTCTGGCTGATCCCCTGGTCCTCACCCAGGACCACTTCACCCTGACAGACCCTACAAGGGGCAACAATGACTTCTGAACCCATGGGATCACTCAGCCAAAGCCCTCCACTGTGGTAAGGTGGTGATTATGCTTTCTGGGTGAGGTGTTTTGGGCATGTCCAACTAAATGTGGGGCAGAACCAGGGCACGCTGGAATGGGAACACCCATTTATCACCCCAGAAGAGATGGAGGGCGTGGCTGAGGAAGACCGTCTTAGCATGTCTGCTTAGACTGTTGCCGTGACCTCTAGAAAATGGATGGTAGTGAGTTTAACAGCATTTAAGAGGTCTGACTGTCATCCAGCGAGGCTGTTTTCAACACTCCTGCTGTACCTCATTTCACGATCCATCAAGTGACCATCATTGCTTCACTGCTTCCTGGATCAGAGCTGATACAAACCTAACGTATGAGAATTACAGGGCTCATGATTTGGTACCATCGTGTGATATGTAGAATGAATACCACAGTCTCTGGAGGAGCTAGCGTCATTTGGACTACAAAAACACATAATCACTGGACCAGCCTATTTTACTCAGCCATGACTTTTGACCTTAATATCACCTTTCTGTAGTTGCTGCTGTTTGCCTGCGGAGGGCAGCGCTGGTCCTGCTAGAAGAACTAGAGCTCGCTGACCACCCCCCCTCCAACACAACAATATTCAGCCATCCTGAGCATCTATAAACAAACAAACAAACAGGTCGTGGTCTGATCGCATCAGACCATGTGCTTACTTCCTGTCTAACAGCCAAACCTTTTCAAACTTCAAATCTTCAAATAGAATATATTCAGAAATCCAATCTGATTGGATAAAACACTGTTTACATATATATATTTATATAGAATATTGTTTTTGCTTTTTTATACAAAAAGAGAAAGTCTTTTGTGGTTTTATACATATGTGTATGTACAGATATAGAAAAGTGACCACACCAAACCTGCTGTGATGTAACCATGGCCAACAGGACAGGAGACGCTATTTACACCAAACAGGAAATATTACAATTATTTAAAAAAAAGAGAGAGAGAGAGAAAAAGATAACGTGGGACGTGGTGGTCACTGCGGTGTTTCAAAAGTACAATCCCACAGTCCCCTCCTTCAAAGAAGAAGGTGCAGGGTTTAGGTCACATGACTCAATCAACACAAATGATAAAGACAGAGCGAGGGAGAGAGAGGACTGATGGGTGTTGCAGTTTCATTAGTTACATGAATCCTGCTAAAGCTGATCTGATCCTGAGACGCTTCCACCAGATTCCACAAAAGTCTGATTGAATATTATTTTAATCTTATTACTAATATTCAACTGAGATTTTTACTGGAGAGTTCTAGTGTGTGAGGATGGCTTTAGAGGGTTTTCTTCCCTCAAAAATGTGAAAGAAAGCAAAACTCAGTCTTTTGGAATATAGCCAGATATTAAAAAATAGTCAAGAAGCAGAATATGTATTTACATGAGCTCATGAGTCTCTCTCTCCATCTCTCTACAGGCTGCTAAATAGTGAGACTGGGACAAACTAAGGCATCCAGATGAAGAAACAAGGACTCAGAAATGAAGTGACCAACTGGATCAACAACAGCGTGTGTGTGTGTGTGTGTGTTTGCGTGTGTGTTTAAAAGTGTGCTTCTTCAGTCCTGATCAGCTGGTTGCTGTACTGAGGTGCTGCGGTGGTGGTTTGTGTTTTCTGGACTTAGTTTTAGTTTTTGTGGACAGAAAAAAAGGCACCTAGTTCCTCCTCCTCCCCTGCGAATATTAAAACCAGTTATTTCCTCCAACGGGCAACCCTGCGCTCGACACACGCAAGAGGACCAGTCGTCCGCTTGGTGTGCGGCATTTAAGATTCAAGTTTTTCCACAATCATCGTCCCTCAGTGGAAACAAAGGAGCAGGGATGGAATAAAAAGGTCACGAGAATGATTGGAGGGTGGAAGAGAACATTTCAGTGGTGCTGTGTACAGGTGGTCAAATATTCAAGGGCTCCCTCTCTGCTGAGACCCACGGAGGTGCTAACAAGTCGTCTGCTCCTCCTTGCATGGACGAAACAGTAGAGAAAAGAAGTGCATCCATGTTTTCGCATGACACGGTTTCTCCTCCATTAAGTTCTCCTTTGCCAGTTGGAGTCCTCCACAACAGCACGACTGCGCTCTGTGTGTGTGTGTTGTGTTTACCAATGCACACTCCATGGAGGAAGAGGAAGAGAAAGAGAGGTGCTAGAAGGAGATGTAAGTGGAAGTTTGGTGTGCTTCTTGTTTAAGCTCCTCCTACAAAATGGGCTCCTCTTCCATTGGTTCCTCTGTGGACCTGAGAGAAGGTCAAAGCAAAACAACATAAATGAATAAATACAAGCCTGAGAATTTGTTTGAAAACATGATTCATTTCATTTTATTGTGAATTACAACACTAATGTTCTTGGATGACATGCGTGCTCTCCTGGCCCTGTAGCATAAAGCTTTCACTGTGCACTGCTGACCTGCTGGTTTCTGTGCTATCAGGAACAGAGCCTGGCTGCTCAACATCAACGCTCAGAGACGCCATGGCGCTGACCGTTTCCGCCTCATCCTTCTCTGACTGGCCTTGAGGCCCCAATGGGCCGTCGAGTAGCGAGTGTCCACTGGTCTGAGACAAACTCTGGAGACAGGACCAGTGTTTACCTGCAGGGACACAGTGAGAGAAAGAAATACAATCAGGAAGTTGAGAAGATACGATCTCATGGGTTTCTGGCAGTTTGGCGAGCGTTTCTTACTCTGGATCTCTATTACTCTCTCCAGGGAGGCGTAGGCTTTTGGACAGGGCTGCTCCTGAGGCCACTGAAACATAGAGTCACACTGACGGAGACAGAGAGAAGGGAAAACCAAAAAATAAGTGCCCGACACTTCAAGAAAGTCTGCTGACCAGTGAGGAGTGATGTTCTCATCACTGAGTCACAGAACAGGCTAGCTAACATGCTTTATTCTCTTTATTAGTTTATGAGTTGGTGGGTACTCTGGCTTCCTCCCACAGTCCAAAGACATGCACTACATGGTGTGAATGTGGTTGTGTGTGTATCACAGTGTAAATGGCTTCATAGCTTTTGTCCCAGTAAGAAAGCTACGAAGCAGATTTTCCATCATTTGAGTGAATTTATTCGGACAAAGCAGTAGTTGCAGTGTGCGCTCAGTCACCTCAAACCATCACAAAACCTTGTAAACACTGGTGTTGTTGTTCCATACTGTTGTGGCTAACACCTCCAGGTGGTAAAAGTCTAAGGTTAAGACATAAATATTAGACTCTGACTCTCACCGGGTCTCCCAGAAGCGCAGAGACGCAGGCCTCCGATGCGTCACAGATAGCGGTGAGGTCATGACCGCCCTCCAGCGCCATAACAACCCGCCCACCCGCCAGACCCATGAGCAGCTGCGTTAGCTGACCAAAACCTGCCAACACACAACCGTCACACGTGAGAAACACTGCATGTGAACCATAGTCACATAGACTCCTCAAGAGACGGCTCTGTACAGAGACAGCATGTTTCTATTCGTTTGTTGTTTTACTGTTGAAAAACAGCTAGTTGTGGTCAAAAAAGAAAAAAGAAGTTGAGCAAAAGCCCCAAATGAAAACAAACTAAAGGCTGCACTCACATTTGGCAGAGACATTGTAGCCTCCCAGAGGAGACTGATGACCCTCCACTGCATCGAAGCCTGCTGACACCAGGACCACATCTGGACTGAACTGTTGAGCGATGGGCATCACCACAGTCCTACACACACACACACACACACACACACACACACACACACACACACACACACACACACACACACACACACAACAACAGAATTTGATTCCACTTATGTTGCAAACCTGAATTAACACCATTCAAATGCATACAAACATCACGAAACGATGAAATCTCCACGTTGAAAAGTTTTACCTGAAAGCAGTGAGGTACTCCACATCACCCATTGGGGGATCTACTCCCCCGGTCCACGCTATGTTCACATTAAAACCAACACCTGCACCTGATCCCACCTGCAGACAGCAGGACAAACAGGCACAGAGCAACAATCATCATCACGTGTCTTTAGCCATTCTGTCTGTAAACTCTGCTGTCTTTGCATTTCTGTCAGTTTCACTTTGTGTCTTTGAGCCTCCAGCTGTCTGCCTGCCTGTTCACCATCAGTTAATCTCTCTCTGTATTCTTGTTGCTTCCTCAGTCATTGGCCTCCTGCATCCTGCAATCAGGTCTTTTCTCTCCTGTGACCATATTTGCCATTTAAACTCAAATAGCCACCGCTTCTCGTTGATTTGCCTCTTGTTCGTTCCTGTGCACTACATTATGCAAGTGGAGATCTTTTTGGCCAGTTTGGTCAGCCAAGGTTGAAACTTTTGGTTTGTCGAATCCTCACACCCACAGAATGACCGGTGGGATTGTGTGATTACCTCCTCTGGAGCGCCGCTGCCAGGAAAGAAGTTTCCGTCGTCGTAGCGATGGAGGGAAATGTAGAGGACGTTGGGGTCACTATAGAAGGCCTGCTGAGTGCCGTTGCCGTGGTGAATGTCCTGCAGTGACATATCACAGCAGCGTCAGAGAGAAGGTCAGAGGGAACGTATGGTACAGACGCAGTGGACACACAGGGACGGGTTAGCCTTTCACTCAGATTCATTTCCCTTTTAGTTTAACTTTTTAAAACCTTTTAAAAAAATGTTTCCCCAAAACTCTCAGGGATTGTCAAGATGCTGTTCTGGTAAATGTGAGACATGGCTTTGTTTTCCTTTTGCTCTAACTGCTTTTCACTGGAGTCTTAAAGCGTTAGAAACGGCTTTATAACCATTTCCAGACAGATAGATGGAGAATACTGCAGCAGCTTTCTGAGAGTTAAAGCGGGATAAATAGAAATGACTGTGTGGTAACATTGTGTGAGTGAAAGGACCGATGTAGAGGGTGTACTGACGCTATAACTGATGTCTTGATTCGACAGGTCTGCTAGGAATCAGGTCTGGGTGTGGCTAGCAAAACTAAACTGTGATATCCTAATAAAATGTGGTGAATCACAAATAATTCATAATTTAACAAAGATACAATGAGTCCACTAGGCTACATACACAAAAGGTAGGTTTGGATAGCTTTTCTTTATCCTTTAACACATGAAATCATTATTCAAATAGTGCATTTTGTATTTACTCAAATTATCTTTGTCCAATCACGTCACTTCACCTGCAATAATGAACAGTCACATTTAACCCTGATCTTACCCCAGTAAGCCTAAATCCTGCTTCCAGCTGCATCATTAATACATTCATCTTTCAGTACATTGATAGATGAATGTATTAACATGAATCTGTTTCACCCAAACTGAAGAAGCATTCATCTGTTCAGGGGGGGAGTTTGGAGTAAAAATGAAGTTATTATTACACTTTCTATTAAATATGAAATGCCTAAAAAATGTATGCAAATATAATGTTTTCTATAGTCATAGAGAAACTGTGTGTGTGTGTGTTCCTGTCTAGCTATCTTTGTGAGGACCGAAATCTGTATTCTACTATACTTGTGAAAACCAACAGTCACTTGTGAGGACACACACACACTGGTCCTCACACGTTTGAAGCCTTTTTGAGGCTCGAAATGTGGTTTTAGTGTCAGGGTTACAATTAGGTTATGGTTAGGCCTTCATTTTTAATGGTCAGGGCATAGGTGTCAAACTCTGGCCCGCAGCCTAATTACATTTGGCCCGCGAAGCCATACCAAATTACTATCAGAGCTGGCCTGCCAGTATTATACAGTGCATGTACTGCTAATACTATAATTCCCAGAATGCTCTGTTGGTGTTTTGGCGCGTCAGTCATGACAGGACCCATTAGCACCCTCTCCTCTGTTGACCATAGTCATAGCAACCATGCAAATACTGCCATGCTATCTATCCCAAAATGGCAAAAAGAAAGGCAGAAAACAGGAGCTTTCTGGACAGGTGGGAGAATATGATGAAAATCTGATAAATGATCAAATTTAATTCAGAAGGCTGCAAATACATTTTTTATTTAAGAAATAAATTCCACTGATGTGTTATTTAATTGGAATTTTGATTTTGCATGTGTGCAATTTTAAGTTATATATAGGTTTATATAGTTATATATATTGTTTAGTATTAAGCTTTGCTTGTTCCATATTCAGATTTTCAGCAAAACTTGTTTGAGTCCATAAGAAAAGATTCCTTGTTATATTTGGAGGAAGATTTATTTTCAATGAATATTAACGTTAGTCCGCGACTTTGATCCAGTTTTGAATTTTGGCCCGCTGTGTATTTGAGTTTGACACCCCTGGGTTAGGGTAAGGGGCTAGGGAAACCATTATGTCCTCACTAAGATAACTGAACGGGCTTAAGGCATTTTTGAGATGTGATTTTAGTGTCAGGGTTACAGTTAGGTTAGGTTTAGGCTGACAGCATTATGTCAATTAGATGTCCCCACAAAAATATGAAAACAAGACTGTGTGTGTGTGTCTGCCCTCTCACCCAGTCCACAATGAGGATCTTGCCCACTCCGAGTTTCTGCTGCAGCAGCTTGGCAGTAATGGCGACTGAATTGAAGAAACAAAAGCCCCTGTGCAAACACATTAAAAAAACATATTAGTCAAGCTGGAGATGTAGTGAGAGAAATGTAGTCAGAATTCTGTGACAGGTGTACTGACATAGCCGTGGACTCCTCAGCATGGTGCCCTGGAGGACGAACAACTGCGAAGCCATTCTAGAGAAACAAGCACAGAGTGAGGGGGCCGCGCACGCAGCATGAGCTCACACTCATGGTTTGTGGTTGCCTCGGTGAAAGCCTTACTTTTAACTCCCCTGCAGCCACTCTGAAGGCCAGCTCGATGACCGAGCCCACCGCCATGCGCACTGCAGCCGATGAGTGCATCTCATTCCACACTGTGTCGCTGTCCACCTGCAGGGGGCAGCACACAGTTCAGACCAGGGCTAACACTAACACAGGCAGACCAGCTAGAAAGAGAGAATCTCACCCCTATTCCTCCACAGGGAAGAACAGCGTACATCTTCTGGCTAATCGGACCTGGAACGAAAATCAGCCAGAGTTGAGGTTACGGCACAGGAAGTGCTCGATACATTTATCACAAGTAAACAGAAAAGTGGGTACGACACCAACTAAACAGACTGCCACACAGGCAACAGCCAAACACAGGATGGAAGGACCATAACTGGGTAGTCAGAACACACACTCAATCATCACGACATCTGAATGTTATCAACCTTTATGTAATTACAAATGGGTGAAGTATTCAGTTACACACTGCTGGGTCCTGAGCTTATTCACAGTAAGGATGCTGTGACGTTCCTGTCTTATTTTCCTCAGTGGGGTTACTGTGAGGATAATTGATCTGGGTGTCTGATTGATGTATTACTTCATTTCTAAAAATTAAACATGAACATTTAAAGAAGCGATAAAAGTTAAGTCAGGGCTGCATTTTTCTCTATAATTTACTCTGTAATTTATAATTTACAGATTTACTTTAGTCAAGCTTCAGTGTATAGAAAGTGTAGACAGACAGTCAGACAGACAGACGGGTACCGAGCAGCTTCTTGTGGTCCAGTTTGTGCCGATTGAGCGGACTGGTTCCATACAGCAGGGTGTGGAACTCTGAATGGACGGACTGGATCTCATCCAGAGATGCTTTACGCCCACGAATCCTCTGCTCACACACAGACAGAGAGTAATGTTTGCATACAACAAAATCAACTTTGCAAGAAATGACAGATGTGCTGTACTTGCTTTTACACAGTGTATAAATCAATAAACTGAATTGAACCAATCATTGCAGGCTCAGCCGTCAGTGTGAAGGCCTTATCTGAAACTTAAGAATGTGTGTGTACCTCACAGCGGCCCAGCAGGCCCGTCTCCTGCAGTCTGGACCAGATGCTCTGAACTCTCCCAGCATGCTCTGGGTGGATGTGAGCGTTCCCACACACACACTGATGTTTCAGCATCAGACTGTCATATACAAGCCCTGGAGAGGGAGAGGAAAAGGATACACACAGATATTGCAATGAAATAAAAGCCTGTAGTTCAGTGGTACGGACACCGGGTCAACAGCAGCTGTAGTACCCAATGATCACCACAAGATGTCAGGAGCAACTACCAATTACATGTATTTGTGTGCAGCTGCATAAAGTCTGTTTTTATATTCGTGAACTGGAATTTAACACTGGTTGGTCTGGTGGAAAACAAAAGATCCACTTTAAGCATGAAATGAGGCAGAGAACTGGTCACAGCAGCACAATAAGAACACAATCTATGAAGATTTAAGAGTTCAAAATTTACAGCCACACGTTTACTCTGAAATAACTGTCAAAAAGAGACGGGTCACCTTAATCACCAGCTTTCATTACCAGCATTAACATGAGCGTGCTCTCTGGAGCCTCTGCTTTCAAGCTTGCATTTTTACAAGGCCACATCTGTCAGATCTGCCCTCGTTTCATCCTGGTCAGACCCCATCTCAGGCTAAGCTCATGTTAAAGTGAACCCTTTTCTACATAAAAGAACTGGACTAGGAAAACAACAGCACAAAACTCACAGTTTGAGTCTTTATTTGGTACCAAAGAGTTAAAAGCTAATTTAATACCAGAATAAATCTGTTTAATAACAGACGCGGTGTGAGATGAATAAGGATTACTTATGAACTATGATTCAAATCCAAGAATTCAAACTTGGAGCAGAACAGGTCATTACTGTGACGCTCCCTCTCTCTGGCTTTGAAAATGCCAAGAACGCAGCTTACGGCCTGAATAAACTTTATAAGTGTGCCAGCTGCACAGTGTGAGCTGAAGTAAATCTAGGTGAGGCGATTAAAACGTGAAGTGCTCAGACTCCTCTGTGTAACAGTTTAGTTTACAGTACTCATGCAAGGAAGTCTCATATGGAGCTGTTGTCCTGTGGATTCAGAGCATAGAGTAAAGAACAGCCTGACCTGACCTGCACGTTCTCGTCCCAGCACATCAATGCAACATAAAAACAGGAAGAGCTCTTACTGGAAAATAATCAAATATAAAACAAGGTACGAGTGATGGGCTCATGCGCTGTTCATCTGAACCGTCAACCGAGAGAGTCAGCTCCCTGTTGCTAGGCAACAAGTATGGAGGCCTCCAGTAGGCAGACTTGACACCATCACATTGTTATCCAATGGGAAACCAGATGTGCGCACGCACAACCACATAAGAAGCGCAAACACAGAAAACTGACCGGTAGTGAAGAGGTGTTTGATGGGATTAACGGCAGCTGCAGGAGAGGACTGCGCTCTACTCAGGGGTCTGTGGGGCAACGAGGACTGGAACACGCCCAGCTGCTGCAAGGCCTGATGGGACAGGGATGGAGGGAGAGAAGAGATAGAAAGTAATGATTCACTGCAGGAGGATGAATCAGAGATCAGCTCATTCACTGCAGCGATGGAGGATGTGTGTGTTTAAGAGGAGAGCACACTTAAAACCAGTCCTGTCTCTGCCAACGCACGCACACACACACACACACACACACACACACACACACACACACACACTGAAATCACTATTCAAAATATTGTATCATTCACAAAAATTGTGTTCCGTTTTCATGACATTTGGACTGACTGTCCTGAAATCTAACTGATCACCACCCCCTCATGGTGTGTGTGTGAGATTTCAGGTTTGTGTAACCACTCCCCTCACACACACACACACACACACACACTCTGTGGTGTCTATATATAGGGAGTGTTGCTGTGCTCCCTGCTGCGATCTGGGTGACTCATCACGCGTGGGTGGACACTAAAAGACACACACTCGAAGATATACAGACATACAGGACACACATACACACACAGCGGTGAGTCCAGTGGTTGAGTCATCAGCTGGTGATGTCACTGCGGCATCAACAAGTGTGTGTGTGTGTGTGTGCATCATTATCTTGAGGCTGGGTCAGCTTTAAAGGCTTTTGTCTTTCTTCCACTGTTCAACAACGTGCCCCAAACATCCAACCTGATACTTGAAGTACTGAGCAACAACAGGTCCTGCAGCAGAGGATGTGAACCCCTGCAGAGCCCTGATCTCATCATGCAGTCTCCCAGGAAGCATCCTCCCTCTGATTTTGCATATTACTGTATACGCTGTATGAAAGCAGTGAAGTTGTTCATATTCAAATGCCATCTTGTTTTGTTTTGGTTAAGCATCTGATTTCTTCTGATGACTCATCGAGTACCGGTGCAAAAATAAATAAATAAATGAAGCTGTTTCTCCACAATCACAGCATCCACTTTAACCCTCCTCTCAGTAAGTACCACCCACAGTGAACACGGGTCAGAGGTGTCATGGGGCTGGAGAGAAAAAGATGACTGAAAAACACAGTGAAGTGTGCCGGTTAAATGCACTTAAACTCAATGACCGCTAGCACGCACGTCACACACGGACCTTTACGGTCGGGTCCAGAAGTATTTAGACAGCAGCACAATTTTCCTACAGAAATGTTGCCTCCGTACTAAATCAATGAAATGAAGCAATCAAGATGTGATTGAAGTGGAAACTTCAGCTTTAATTCAAGAGGCTGACCACAAATCTTGCATTAACCATTTAGGAATTACAGCTATTTTTAAACACACTCCCTCCACAGTAACAAGAGCAGTGTACCATAACTGAGTATATCAGAAACCTTCGGAAGCCAAACCAAAAACTGAGAGTTCTCCTTCTGTGGCTTCAGTGTTGTGTGCTCAGGTAAGCTGGTAACCACTGAAGACCTCTCCATGTTTTGCTTTAAGAGGTGCTTCTGTTGGACCATTGCAAGGCTGAACTGTGAAGCACTACCTTATCAGTTTTGCAGCATCTGATTGAAAGTACACTTTGCACCTGCAGTCACATAATCAATAAAGAAGAGTGGTGCAGTAGTGTCTGTGCCTTTATATAAAATGTATATAAAAGATGGACACAGCCTCTGTGGCACCAGCCACTGGTCTAAGAAACATTAAAAGTGAGGCAATGATGAGCGCTGGATCTGACAGTTAAACCAGGAAATACAACAGTCACTTGTCAATCAATCAGTATATCTATGATAATGTATTCAATAAGACCTGAACTGAATGATTGTGACCATAAACTCATCGCAGAAGTGTTTACAAAAAAAACGTCGGCACTTCTTCAGAGCTGGTGAAGTCGCCCTCTGTTGGCCATTTGATTAAAGTATTTCTGTTGAGGCTTTACTTCTTAGATATGACAGGTACGTCCTTAATGCCGTCTCTACTATGTTGGAGAGGCGATCAGGTGTATGAATAATGATGCTTTCTTGTCCCTGTTCATGCTCTTATCATGTTTCACATTTGTAAGGCTGTTCTAATCTGGCTGTTTGTGCTCGTCGCTGCAGCCACTCACTTTGAGGTTAAACTCTACTTACATTCACTAAGTGTAGATTTAAATGTTCTCAACTTTACTCAATGTTATGTAGGGCTTTTGTTTACCAGGGAAACAACTCAACTGTGATTATCACCTTTATCTGCCATGTGTAGTCTCCGTGGTCTTTTGGTGTTGCTCAGCTCATCCTTCTGTTTTTGGCCAATTCAACTGTTGATACCAAATGTTGGCATCAGAGTCTGATTGTGGAACGACATATTTAGAATACCAGATGGCAGACTAAATAGGAAAGAATTCATGTAGTTAGCATCACTGATCCACTTTGAGCAAAGTGATCCTTACGTTCAGTCAGAGTCCTTGAACAGTGTTGTGCTCACACAGTTAGACGTCACCACCCTGCACACTGCCAAGTGGTCTGAACATCACATTGTATAAGTTGGCTCTTCAAGAACGCTTAGCCTCGTCTAAGACGATAAAAATATGCGTTTGGCAAATTTTGGAAAATTCAATGTGTGTTCTTTTTCCTGAAAGCAGATAAGACACGTTATGCAATGAGCTCAGCCCAAAAGGAAAACTCTGAAGTGATACGTAAATGTACTGCAGCTCAGAATTGCTATGTGTGAAAACAGTTGCGCGTGGGTGAAAAACACCTGAAGCCACCTCAGCTTTAGACTGAAGTAAGAGGCCGACCATTAGCTGGGATGAGTCAGATCACTAACGCAAAGCAACCGCTGTAACAGAGCAAACGCAGCGAGATACAAAACAGCAGGAAGGCGGTCAGTGATGCATTTGTGTGACTCATCCCTCTGTGGGATGACGCTGTGGAACCAACAAGTCCTGAGTTTTAAGACAGACCGTGGGCTTTGAAGGAGCTCCTGTTGGACACCTTGTCATTATCAGATGAGCCCAAGCTCACTAACTGACCACACCCATTTACATGAACCATGCTGATTATCAATGATGCAAAGCTGCACTGTATTCACACACAAACCTGACTGTAACTCCCTCTCTCCTCTTCGTCGCCGTCCCTCAACTGAATGATATCTTCATCCTCTTCCTCTTCTTCCAGCTCACTCTCGGTGCTCTCCCCTTTGATATGCACGCTTCCACACTCCTCCTCACCCTTCACGTGCACGCCGAGACGCTCAGATGAAGGCGTGCTATCATCAGACCCCTCCTTCTGAAGCCTGATTGGATGAGAAGATAGAACAGAGGGAAAAGGTGTGTCCAGGAGCCAGATACACATGCTCTTTACGAAAACTAGCTTCTGGGTCAGATTTAAGCAGGGCAACTGATCGACAACCTGCAACTGAACAACGCACCAACGAGAGTGTAAAGCTATTCGAACAGGCACAGCCGGTTCATTTCAATAATGATGTCGGCATGATCTACCAAGAGCAGCACAAATTAGCAGGCTGGACACAAGTAGGACCTGGTGAGAGAATGAGTCATCTATTGTTGCTGAAATCTGACAAACATAACAAGCTCATGTTTTACAGTGTTTCCTTCCAGGAAAAACAGCAATTCAGAAAAATGTTTTGATTCAAGAGCAAAACCAAAGGAAACTGAACAAGATCCGTTCGGGTCTTAAGACTGAGTCCAGGGCTGTTTCATTTCCACCTTACAAACCTGAACTCTGACAGCTGACTGATGGGATGATTAGGCAGTCAAATATCTACATCAATAATAGAAGCGACACACTTTATGTTGTTATGCAAGTCATAGAAAATTCCCAAAAGCTTAATTGTGATGATGAAGAGCTCTATAGCGCTCTGCAGTTTTCACTCCCAACGTTTGTACAGAAATCTGACAAAAACACTGCACACTGTAAACTTGACTCTCTGTAACAGATCCATGACCTGCATGTGTTTAGCACCAAAGCACTTGGGTTCACAGTTTGAGCCACCCATTATAAGCTTGTTCCGCTAACAACCATCTCAGCTATGCCAGGAACACCAGTTAAGATAATGTGTAGAAATAACGGCAAGCAACCACAAACCTAAATCGTGTTGTGAGTCATTTAAATATTTCTCAAAACTCTGAGCTCAGAAGAGGAAACTGTGATGACTACGTCAGCCAACAAGATCAGTAAAAATGTAAAAATAGGAGCAGCCACACTCTTCATTTCTACAGATATGTAATAATATATACATATATATATATATATATTTCTATTGTTATTAACCAGCCTAATAACGAAGCCTAAATAATAACAAACTGAATTCATGTTTTTATACTCATGTTTGAGCTAACGGAGTGGACATCTCTGAGAACAGAACATTCACTTTTTATATTCAGGAATTGTATTTGTAATTTCAATTAAAAACAAATAACAGATTTTCAGCTTCTTTGTAAAGCAACAAATTTGAAACATCACAGATAAAAACAATATTTCTATTTAGCCTTAAACAGCCTCCACATACTGCTGGAGGAACCATTACTGAACGAGGATTTTGGCATTGGCATAAACCTCACATCAGGCTGGGGCTAATAAATGTGTTAAGCACTGTGTGTCACACAGAGACACACAAACACAGAAATACTGGCACACCTGTGAAGGCCCACCCCTTCATCCTCCTCCTGCATGTCATTGGTCTCTGTAAGCTCCTCCTCTGTTTCCTCTGGGTGAGTGGGTGGTGGCCTAGGTAAATCTGTCCCCTTTGACAGCATCTACACACACACAAACACACAAAGATTATGTGAGAATCTGCACGTGTGCTCATCTGTGTGTGTGTGTAATTGTGTCTACCTTGTAATGCTTCTCCAGGAAGTGATGGTGCTGCTGTTGAACCACCAGTTGCTGCAGGGCCTGGGGGGACTGGGGCAAAGGTGCGCTCTGCGTACGAGCCAGCGGCCGGTGGCGAGGCAGCTTGTTGACGGCCCGCATGCCACCCGACACACCTCTCTCTGCCGTAACCAGCGGCGATTGGCTGTACATGGGCACTAGACAGGTCAAGGGTCAGAGAAAAAGGTGATGAGTTAGGCGCTGTCGTGAATTTTTGTGTATGTGCTGTGTGCGCGATTGTGTTTGCACCACCTAGCATAGCAGTCTGTTGCCTAGCCTGCTCCAGCAGTAGTACATGTTGCAGTAACGAGGAATGGGCTGAATGAGAGCTGGGGGGTGGAGTCTCCACATCATGTCCCACACCTGCAAAGAGATATTAAATCATAACTAAAGAATTCAATTTAAACCAACTACAGTCACGATGCACTTTTATGATTAGTGCACAATGACTCACTAAACTCTGATATGAGCAGCGGTCCAGCTCACCTGCTGGAAGGGAGGACGTGGAGAGAAACTTTCCTGTTAGAGCTCCACCCCCCCGCAGCGACTGGATGGCCTGACGCTCTGCCTCTTGCTGGGCAGACAGCTTCTGGGAGGGCTTTAGAGGGAGTATTACCATAGTTACCACACAGACACAAATTGACAGGCACCTCGTGGCAGTTTTTCAGCTGCTCAGCTTTTTGCTTAAATCCTCTCCTTGAACAGGAACTGTTTATTTAACACAGAACTCAGAACAACAAATCTATGAAGTGCTGGATTCCTTCTGATGGTACAGATTTCCTACGGTGGTGCAAACAGCTCGGAGCAAACGGAGCAACCAAAACTCATCATGAAACTGTATCCAAAGCCAAGACCAAAGGAGTCTCAACACCGTGTTTGGTTGTCTTAGCATATTTTACCTTTATGAAAATGCAGGAATAACTAGCTTTACACTGCAACACAAGAATAGGACTCTTTATTGTTTCCATGTATTCCATAAGAAGCAGCCTATGGATATATTTCCACTGGGTTCGTGTAGAAATGTGCAGACATAAAAATCCCACTGGAGAAAGAGCTTTTAACCAAATCATACATTTTAAGGATAGCACTCGCTTACACATGCAAGCTAGAAGTGATCCCTCACCAAAATGAACAGTCATGGAAATAAAAAGGCCTCCTTTGGTTTAC